GGGAGGGGAGGAGAGAGAGAGAGAGAGAAAGAAGAGAAGAGAAGAGAAGAGAAGAGAAGAGAAGAGAAGAGAAGAGAAGAGAAGAGAAGAGGAAAGAAAGAAAGATAGCTGGATGGACATGGTGGTTCATACCTGTAATCCCAGCATATGGGAGGCTGAGGCAGGAGGAACACCATGAGTTCAAAGCCAGCCTGAATTACAGAGCAAGGCCACGCCTTAAATAAAACCAAAAACAAAAAAATAGGGGTAGGGGGCAGGAGCAGACAGAAAGAAGCTGCTAAGGTCTCCTGCTTGCTTTGCTGCCTTCTGTCCACCACGAACTACTTCTTCACTGCGATGCCTGTCTGCCATGCCATCCTGCCTTGAAGCCAGCCGATTATGGACTGAAACCTCTGCTCTGTGTGCTAAAGAAACCTTTTTCCCTTTAACTTTGGGTGTCAGGTATTTTGTTTCGGAAATGAGAGCAGAGCGACTAAAGAAAGAGCCTGGAAAGAGAACCAGCATCTTATTGCAGAAGGATACAGGGGGTAAGATTTCTTTCTAGAAGCCATGAAAGAAGCTGCTTTAAAACAGGGAGGAGTGGGCCAGGGAGATAGCTCAGGGGCATAAGCACGTGCCTGGCAAGTGTAAGGTCCTGAGTTTGATCCCTGGTACTAAGGAAAAATAAATAATTGTCTTTTTGGGCCAGGGAGATAGCTCAGTGGAATAAATGCCTGGCAAGCACAAGGTCGTGAGTTCAATCCCCGGTACTGCAAAACCAAAACAAAACAAAAAACAAAAACAAAAAACAAAAAACCCAGGGAGGTCATGTGCTGCCATCCAATAGAGGCAGGGGAAACTGAGATCAAACTCTGCTTTCATCAGATATTTTTGTTATCCTGGGCAAGATTATAGTTTACCTCTAAGATGTCCCCTTAAAGTGGCATGCATTTAGAAGATGATCGGATCTTGGAGGGCACCATATTCCATAGATTCGTAGTTTGATGAGTCCGGCAGCTGCATGAGCTATGAGGAGGGGTAGCTGGATGGAGGCGTGTCCTGGAGGCGTGAACTTGGAGCTGTATCCTGAAGGAGTGTCCCTGGAGACTGGAAGGCATGTTCTTGGAGCTGTGTCCCTGGAGGCATGTCCCTGGAGGCATGTCCTATAGGCATGTCCCTGGAGGCATGGCCCTAGAGGTGTGTCCCTGGAGCTGTGTCCCTGGAGTTGTGTCCCTGTAGGCATGTCCCTGGAGCTGTGTTCCTGGAAGGCTATATTCTCGTCCAGCTCTTTCCTTCTGTTGTCTTCTTGCTGCCATGGATGGAGCAGCTTTTCCTCCACCACACGCCACCCCCATCCCATTTCTGCCTCAGAGCAACTGATCACAGACTGACACTGTATGCCGCAATGAGCCTCTCCTAAGTGGTGTGTGTTGGGTGTTTTGTCCCCGTGGCCAGAGAGTGGCTGTGACAGGCAAGTTTCTTCAGCATTTTGAATCCTGATTTCTTCAACTACACATTGATAAGTGAGATTTACTTCTTAGGGTTCTCTCCTTGAAGTAAAGGCAGATATTATAAAATCTGAGACCTGAGAGATATCAAGTAAGTTGTACTTGTTATTAATAAGAGTAACTTGATATCCCAGTAAAATAGATGAGAACAGCGAAGAAGGTATAATGGAAACCTCTTTAGGTCTCTCCTGGGCTAGGTCACACATAAAAAAAGCAATGAAGGAGGTGACATAGGTGGAAAACTGCTTGGCATCAAAGATCACCACAGAGAAAGAATCCGTAGTTCTAGTCCAAGAGGCATGTAAGTTTGATGAGGTATGAAGTTTATGTAATTAGGGAGCCATTTTTAACTTTTAAATTTTTTTGAAACAGGATCTCATTATGCAGTTCAGACTGGCCTTGAACTCACTGTGCAACCCATGCTGGTCTCAGACTCACAGTGATCCTCTTGTCTCAGCCTCCCGAGTGCTGGGATTGTAGATATAGATATGAATCTAACTTTCTTTTTTAAAGAAAATAAAAAGTCAAGTCCAACGCGAATATTTATTTGGACAGAGAAACATATTACAAAATTTAAAAATATGACAAATACTACTAAAGTCACTAACAGACCCATATTTTTAATGGTCTGCTTAGCAAACCTCTATAATTATTATGTTTGCACAGATATAATTTTTGTTGATTTCTTTATATGATAAATATTCTATGGCAGATATAATTTTCTTTAGAAAGTATGGAAAGACAGTTTCCTCTTTCCTCCACCATGGTTTTATCAGAAATGTTTTCTCTTATTGGTAATTTAGAAAACTTTGCTTTCACTTAAAAGTCATTTTTGGTGAAGCCCTGTAAATCTTCAGGCTTCCTTTCAGATAGAAAACATTTCTATTTTCTTTTACATACATATAAGTTGTCATACACATGCTTGCATTTCTAGTACTATACTGTCATAGCTTCACGTCTGACAAACACAGGTTGGCGCATTTTATTCTGTTATTCTCATTTTAAGTGTAACACAATTACATATACTGTATCTAGATGGGTCTGCTGACTGGACAGAACTGGGATGTTTACCCGGTAACTAGAGAATCTCCTACTCATAACTTCATGAGCCTGAAAACAGAAAGAGGTCTCCACAGACCACTGCTCCCGTGTGGGCCCCTCTGGCTGCACAGCACTATGCACTGCTGACCTGCCCTTGCTTCTCTGTGGCAGGCACAGTGGGCGGCAGAGAAGCGCTAGAGGCCAGCCCCTACTCTGGATCAGCCACAATAATTAAACATAGAACTGCCTCTCCAACATGACCGTGTTCCATGAAAGCCCTGAACCCAAGTCACCATCCCCTAATTCAGGCTCCATTCAAACTGGCATCTGACAAGAGGCAGGATATGGCTAAGGAGAAGTTTGAGTACAAGTGGGAACCACCTAAAATCTCTTACCTTTCTGAATTTTGCAAAACCTGCTGCCTTGTGAACCCACCATAGCTTTTCCCCTCCTCCTCTGGGTAGAACTCTGGAAAATTCTTATGTGCAAGAGGGACCTCAAAGCTTCGCCATCCCTTGCTTTGGGGTACATCTATCCCTTCTATCAATGACAAGACATTGTACATGGACAGAATAACAGAAAATAACGTTTTGGGCCTCAGTAGAGGAGAAAATTCCATTGCCATTAAGACAAGAAAAAAGTCAAGATGACAGGAGAGGGGTTGGGTTGTTTTGAGTATGGAAAGGTCAGGGAAGAATAGCATAGTAAGTCCTTAAAATGCCTGTGAGGTGTCATCCCCTGACACCAAGCAGGCAAAATTACTTTTGCGTGTGATTCTGATTAATCAAAACCAGTGCTTTAAGTTCTCAGCCTCACATCTGTGATCTGTATTTCCAAACTTGACCCTCATTAATCCTTCACGTGGTCATTCTATGCTGCCCTGAAAGCCAAGGTCCTTAAGGTGATGGTTTTTAAACAACAGCTACCTCTAAACCCTGTTCTGGGAGGTGACTGTGGTTGGAGTGTGGGGAAGGAGCTTGCATTAAGCTTCAGTGAAATTGCAAAGTCCGACTTTGTAATCTCTGTCTTAAATAATTCACACTGCCTTCCGTGTTTTAAAAGGGTCCTGTGACACAGAACCAGCAGGAATCTCCATTTACTGTTCTCTTTCTGCCAATTCTCCTAGCTTGGAATAAAAATAAAAGAGATGATAGATAGTTCACTTATTATCTTGGTGTTCATTTAGACCATTTTGTCTGCAGTGAAAACAGTAATCAGAGGATGAATCAACAATGAGAGCCATTGTGGCTACTGTACACGACTGTAAATTCATGCTCGTTGAGGCTGATGTTGCTTGACAGACTATTTCTCATGTATATTACCATTGCTATCTATTTGTGTTCTCCTCTATTGATGGTTAATGCCTCTTCTGTTATTGTTCCATGTAGCAATTGTGGTTATCTGGTAACAATACAATGATGTAAGGAATTAAATATTAATAGGCAATTTATAAAAGGGCTGAAATTTTACATTCCAATAGATAAAATTGAAAAATGGAACATGTAAAAGGCTATAAGAATTGGAAGGCAGCTTCTCGCTGAATGTGTAAATCAGAAGGGCTCTGGATCATTTTAGTGTTGTCTAAGGATTAGCAGAAGTTGAGACCTGAATGCCTCCAGTGGAAGCTGGGTAGCACCAGCTGGTATGAAAAGGAAAGTAATCTTTGTTTTGCCCTTTTAGAAAAAAAAAAAAAAAAGATTCAACTGACTGGGCTGATTGAACCACAACAGAATAAACTGGGGCAAAATCTGAAGCAGCCTTTTACAGCACTTGACAACGCTTGTTGTTTTGTGTGTCTTCCTTGCACAGGGGCCCCGTTAATCTCTGCATTGTTCCAATTTCAGTATATGTTCTGCCGAAGCAAGCACAATCAACTAACTTTCTTTCTTTCGTTTTTGTTCTTGTTTCTGTTTTTGTTTTGTACTGGTGATCAAACTCAGGACCTTGCGCTTGCCAAGCAGGTGTTAACACCGCTAAACTGTCTCTCTGGTCCTTGACAGTGCTTGTTTTTTAACCACTTCCCTTTCATTGCTGTATTTTTGGAGAGGCAGTTATTGAATTGTAGTTCTTGGGCCCATCTGGATCACAATGCCTGCAGTTTTATAGGACAGAGAGAAACATAGGGCTGGCCAAATAGCTCAGCAGATTAAAACACCTTCTTAGGCAGGCACAGGGGCCAGGGGTTCGATCCCCAGGGCCTGCCATGCCAGCCCCACCCCCAGTGTGCACTGAGATGGCAATTGAGACTGGGCATGGTTGCGCATGCCTGTAATCCCAGCACTTAGAAGGCTGTAAACAGGAGAATCACTATGAGTCCTATCTAGTGAGATCCTGAACACCCTGTAGACCCGTCCCTAAAATACAGAAGAAAAAAAGACAGAGAAACCTATTGTCACAAAATTCTGCCCTATCTAGATTTAAGGTTTTTATGATATAGTAGTTTGCCCCAAATTTAGGGGTTTAAATGACCGTCATTTTGGCATGCTCTATTGTTTCTGTAGGTCAAAATTTGGGGAAGGCCTTGCTACATGGTCCATCCTAACAGGAGACAGGTGATGGTAGGAGCTGACACAGCAGTGGAGAAGAGCAGCTGGAGGGGCCAGCGGGCTTCTCCTCCGAGGCCATCTGTGTGGCTCCGTCCCACACACTAGTTTGGTGTTTTCCACAACAAGGAGGACTCGTGTTTTGCAAGATCAAGCACAAGTGTCCCTCATATAAGGCAGATGTTAATCGCTATTTATGGGTTAGCCTTGGAAGTCATATGGTGCCACCAAAGTCCATGAGTCAAAACAGTCACAGAAGTCTCGTGTCCAGGGGAAGAGGCATGCCACCTATCTAGGAAAGTGGCAAAGAATGCATGGATACACAATCATACTTCAGTTCACCACCGCTTCTGTTCTCACTCAATTTGGTTCTCAAACAAAAGCATTCGACAAAATCATGCTCCCGTTCACAAATGTCACATCAGGTGAAAAACACAACCATAGCCATCTTCCCCACACAAACACAAGCACAACCATCTTTCCCCAAGTCATAAATTAAGTTACTTTTGTGGACCAAGCTACCACTGTAGTATTTAATTAGAATAAACAGAGCTTACTGATTGGATGTAGGGAATGAGGGTAGAGAATGGAAGGGGATTGGTGGAGCAGTGGGAATAGTACCAACCACAGTAGGAAAGTCAAGAGAACAGTTTTCATGTTTTCTTTTTGGAAAGGTAGGTGGAGGACATCTTTTAGCAAAGATTAGTCAAGGCCTGGGACCCAGGAGAAATCTGGGACTAGAAAAAGCAGCTGGAGTCCCTGTACTTGGGGAAGCTGAGGCTTGAGTAGAATTTCCAGGTGGAGGATGGAGATAAAGCATAAGTCAATGGACAGAGGGAATTTGAGTCTTGAGCAAGCTGGGTATGGTACACACCTGTAAGCCCAGCACTCTGGGAGACCGAGGTAGGAGAACTGCAAGTTTGTGTCCAGCTGGGGCAACTTAGTGACTCAAAGTTAAAAGAGATTTAAAAAGGTGGGGATGTAGATCAATTCCAAGACCTTGGGTTCAACCTCCAGTACAATAAAAGAAAGAGGAAGGGGAAAAGAAAAGGAAAGAGAAAATTTTGAGGTTGTTTAAATGTCCCCAACCACTGTACAAACTATAGCTACCCCAAGGAAAAGAAACATGACTGGTACCAGGGGACGCATCCTGTATACTCATAGGGTTTGGATCAAAGATATCCTCCAACGGTTCATGTGTTCAGAGGTGGGACACATGTCTCCTGTTAGAAGGGATTAGATCCTGGGGTGTTGACACCCTAAGTCAGGACATGGAGTCTGACTGGAGGAAGCCAGTCCTGGGAACCCAGGCCCTGGGAGGACAGGTGCTATCCCGGGCCCCTTCTCTCAGGCTCTTCCCCTCCCTCTCTGCCTCCAGCTGCCGAGCTTAGCAGCTTTCCTCTGCCATGCTATTTCTGCCTGGGTGGCTGACTGTGGACTGAGTCTACTAAAACTGCAAGCACAATAAACCTTTCTTCCTTTAAGTTGGGCGTCCCAGTCATAGAGACATGACTAACACAGTAGGTGAATAGGGCTGACAGCAGGGGGCTGTTGTGGCCCTGGTGTTCAGCATTGGGCCAGGCCCATCTGACCCAAAGCCCTGGGCCCTCCCTCCTTAGGTGCATCCTTTGCTCAGAGGGGAAGGTGACACCAAACACCCAGTTGTTACACATAGGTGCCCATTTCTCCAAGCCTTGTTTTTTTCTCATTTTGTGGACTTTCTCCAAGTTTTTCTTCCATCCACACATTTCTCTTTCATTCTAAATTCCTGGACTCCTGACCCCCAATTTACTCCCTTTCTCCTTCCTTCACTTTTTTTTCACTTTGTATTTTATTTTATTTTATTGAGAAACAAATATCAATGAGACAGTTTCAAAACTGATGAATGGGACAGTTTCAATAATTAATACATTATACACTGTTATCTTCTTAGTATTATCCATAGTACAAGATGCAGACAGAATATCCTGTCCAAACATTATTAGTACAAATCGTTCTTCTCATTGAATTAAGCGGAAGTAGCTGTATATCTATCCTAACTATTCTGCATATTCAGATACAAAATGGTCCTTCCTTTGTATCCCCTTTTTTTGTTTAGTCCTGTCAGAACTTCATTTATTCCTGACTAAAGCTAACAGTTCTGCCTAGCTGACAGATAGAGAAAGCTATTCCTACATATGCCATTGTACTGGAGAACAATAGCCCTTCAGTTCAAATATCTATACCCCCCCCACACACACACACAAGGAGGTGGGGGGACCCTAAGTTCTTCCTGACTTGCATTGTTCTTTTGAAATTGGGCTGAATCACTCTCACTTGGACTGATTTGAGCTCTTCTCAATCTTTGCCAAGTCACTTGATATTTTCCACCTAATAGTGAATCCTATATAAAAGGCAAGTGATTTAAAGATGAATTTGGAAACAGTTTCTTAGTCACAAATATGGGCTCACTTGATTCACTTAATGACCCTACAAGGAAGACAGGGGACCAGGGATTATTATCCTCCCTAATTCAAGAAATGGAGACAGGACAGTCCACCTTCCAAAAAAATGCATTGCTGGTAAAAAGTAGTGGCCCAAATTCAAACCCAGAGTGCTAGGGCACTATAGCACACTGCTTCTCAGAGGCCTGTCGGGGATGACTTCCATGACAGCAAAACATTGGGAATGGTTTTTAGGTGACAGAATTGCACATAATAGGAATAGACATTCTAAAGAATCAATACTAAATCAAGACGGCATCAGCTGGATTATGTTATAGTCTTGGTCCCACCACCAGCATTCATTAATAGGATTGTTTTTAATTGAGAAATATCATTGATACTTTTATTATAATAATTTTTTTAAGGATGACCATGCTGTTGCATTTCTCTGGAGCAACATCTTAATATCACTGATGGAGTCCTGGGCTTCATTTTCATCATGCATCCAGACATGGAGGGAAAACCTGAGAACCTTCCAGACTCTTCCAGAGTCTTGAGTCAATGTTTTTTATCTCATTATTAAAATAACTCTTTCCTGGGGAGGCACCATGGAGGCTGGAGGAGGATTCTCCTGGCTGCCAACCGAGGGACTTTTGCCACTTCGCTTGAGGGCTTTCCTAGCCCTACCTTATTTAAACACGTACATTCACTCCCAAGCTCCTTTGATTTACAGGGCTGTATCTCAACTGTTTTGAAAAGCTGATGTTTGGAATCCCTAAGTCATCTGTGACCTAGGTCACTAAGGACAGGAGCGATTTAGTAAAAGTATTAATTGAAACTCTCCTGACAAGCCTGGTTCCTTCAGATAAAGTTACACATCAAACCCACACAGGCTGCTGGGCTATTCTGAGCAGCCTCAGCTTTTCAATATCTCATAAACAGGCCCCTCAATCACTACAATCTAATAAGGCTATAATCATCATTGACACTATAATGATTAAAATGAATAAAACCCATTAAGAAAAGTCATGTTGAGTTATTAAAAGTTTCGCTCTGCGTGATATGTAATCTTTTATCCATTTTTTATGATGAAATTTGTAACCATCTATCCACAAAAGACCATTAATTTACTGCTCTGTAGATGTTACCATGCTCTTTAGTTTAACAGCTTATCATTGATTTCTGGAGGGAGATATTATATTTGGAGAAATACACATGGAACAAAAGCCCGAATGTTGCTGTAAATTTCCCACTGACAGGATGATCCAAGTATTGGGGCTGGCCGGCCACACGGGGCTGGCCAGCAAGTCTTCTAGAGGAGAGTGAGCCCTCAGGCTACCAGGCACAGATACATGTTTTCAGGCATCACCCATGCTTCTAAGGAAAGGTCATGTGTAAAGTGGGGGGTGGGGGCTGGGGGAAGAAACAATAAAATGTCCATTAACTGGAGCTAGTTAACTGGCTTATTGGCATCTATTAGAAACAAATTGCAAACAAAAGTGATCCTATTATAAACTTCTCCTCGTCCCCTCATGGAGCGCACTTTCTGATTGGCCCCCAAGAGGCTCCAGCAAGTACAACGTTGTCAGACGGCTCCTTTATTTGCAAGGGGGCTGGCTTTCTGCCAGCAGTGGGCTCCAGCCCTTACTAGAAGGAAATACAAAGTTGGGAGGGATCCATGGCCCCATCCACCAGAAAGAGCACCAGAGAGACAACTAATGTACTCCTGCCACATTCTTTGGGCAGAGACTTTTCCCCCTAAGCAAACAGCAATAAAAAAATGTGAATGGGAGAGTGTGTACACAGAGCTGGGGCTTAAGTGGTGGGGAGCCGAGCTGCGTGTGTACTTTTTCTCATAATAAACTCTGCCCCAGTATCTTTACTGTTCATCTCCTATTTA